GGTCTTCTCCCGTCTTCAGCGGCGCGGGCCTCCAGTCGGACCCGCGCCAGGAGCAGTAAGGCCGCGCGGGAGTCGGCGGCGGCCCTGGCTCCGAGTGGAAGGACGGTGCAGCAGAGCGCCGAAGGAAGCCACTCTGGGCGTGGTCGGCGCGCTTTCGGGGGGCGGCTGGGACTGGAGTGGGAGTGGGAGGGCCGGCAGACGTCCTCCGTCCTCTCGGGCTCCACAGCCGGGAGCGAGGTTGCAGACGAGCTCAAGCCGCCGTACGAGACCCGACCCGGACCCAAGCGGACGGGGGGCCAGGGGTTGGCTCGGTCCTGCCTGGGATGCTCAGGCCCAGCCGTTGGTGGCCTCAGCCCCGGCTTGCCGGCGGGACGGTTCCGTGCTGACGTCCTTCAAGGCTGGCGCGTAGCCCGACGGCGAGGCAGGTGGGCGTTTCTCGGCTTTCCTCCCCTGGTGACCAGCTCCCGGGGGGCTGTTGGCCAAGTGGAGTGAGATTGACCCGCTTTGCCTCCGCGGCGGATTTCGCAGAAGGAACTGGTTGGTTGGGGAAAGAATGGGTCGGGAATAAGAAAAAGAGGGGGGGGGGATCCAGGAGGAGACTTAAGCTGTCAAGATGAGCTGCAGGGAGGCAAGGGCCCAAGTCTGCAGAAAAAGCTAGGAGAAACCACGGAGAGCCCGGATTCACTGGCGGTTTTCAGTGCCACCAGAATGACCAGTAACTGGAATGACCCAGCCTTTCGCTGGCCATCCTCTGCTCCTTCCTGCAGCACCAAATGGGAAATTGTGGGGACTCATCCTTCCGCAGGAGAGCAAAGGCTGTATGCTGCTGGGGGTCCCTAGTGGGAGGCTGTACAGTTAAATTGTGCAACCCTGACACCATTTGGGACCTTGGGATGAGGATCTCAGAACTCACCTTCATCAAACACAGAGACTCTTTGGAATGTCCAAAACTGGAAGGAAAAGAAATCGGGGCAGATTGACACTAAACTTGGAAATAATTTTGGATAGCGTATTAGGTTCAGAAATCCATAGAAGACCATCCAGGTAGCTTCATCTAGTGGCTTGAGAGAATGGACTTTCCCATTTGATAGCATCAAATGAAGCCTTTAGTGGAGGAGTCAACAGCTAAGAGGTTAAATTGGGTATTTTCTGAGTCATAAAAATGAACAACCAGTTTTGGATCCAGAGTTGGGTGGACCCACCTGCCATCTTGTTTGATTCCAGAGTGTTGGAAACTTTATACAACTCACTTATCCTCAGTTAGCTTAAGCTTAATCAGGATATACTTAACCCAGTGTTTGGTTTCCTGGATCACATGGGCTGCATTCTGCAGCTTGAGGATGGGCAACTCGCCTTAAGTTAACCAGGCAGTGAATTGTATGAATCCAGAATATGGATTAGTTTGGTAACCAAGTTTTGCCTCTTTTGTGAATGGACTCGCTGAGTTTTGTTGGGTGTTGTTGCCTATGTTTGTTTGTTGCTACTTAGTAGGTTTATACCTCTCCCCTTTTCCTTTAGGAACTCAAGGAATATGTGGTGCTCCCTCCTCTAATTTCCCCCCAACAATCCTGTAAGGGAGCTGAGGCTAAGTGGGTGCTTGGTCCCAGTTCCCCGGTGAGCTTCCCTGGCAGCTGATGGGGAACTTGAACCTGGGACTCCCTGTGCTAAGTCCAGCATCCAACCGCTCCCCCACCGTGCCTCTCAGCTGCTTTCATTCCCACAGTTTGGACAGGACTAGGCTGGGGGGGACCCCTGGGGGCACTGAGGGCTGTTTACGTGGGTCCCCTCGGCCTCCAAAGCAGCAGCAGCAACGTGGGGCAGGCATTGGCGTGGGTGGGGCTGGAGAGTGAGTGAGTGGGTCTTGGCTGGGCAAGGGAGCAGCGCAGCAGGGGCTTTGGGGGCGGAGCTGCTGCGGTCCCGGCCTCTCCTCCCCCTTGGCCATTATGATGGCATAGGCGTGGTCTCCCTGAGCAGCCCAAAGCCCTCAAGGCTGGCACTCTGGTCCCGAGGGCAGCCTGGTGTGGAGCCAGGCGTGGCACCAAGCAGGTGGGCAGCCAGGGCTGACCCCAGAAGCCACCTGGCTCCCCTTCTGGGGCGTGGAGGGGAGGGAGGATCAGGCTGGACAAGCAGCAGTTGCTGAGCCAGGAAGGGAGGGAGGGAAGGGGCGGCGCCTGGGGGTGCTGTCCTGGCACCTGAGACCTGAAACTTGGTTTCCCCCATTTTTCTTCTTCTTTGGGGGTGATACGTGTTGGAAAAGATTGGTTTCAAAAGGCAAGATAGGACAGCTTAAATTAAGCAGACTGAATGACGTTTCTCCTAGGTGTTGTAGCAAATATTTCTGTTCTGTCAACGGATACTCTGTTACAACATTCAGTAGGAATCTGCCTTCCTGTAACTCTAATCTGTTATTCCATGTCGTTCATAAAATGCGGAATGGCCCAGGACTGTGTTCTCTGGTACTCCACTTCCAGGCTGAAGCAGAGCCCCGGGAGCAGCCGTCCAGCCAAGAGCGAGTCTGTCTAATAGAGGTGTCCCTTAGGCCACAGTTAGCACTTTATGAAGGGGGATGTTATGAGGCGTTGTGCTGAAGGGTTTGCTGAGGTCCAGATATCTCATGTGTATGGCATTCCCTTGGTCCCAGTAGAGGTGAACAGGTGTAGCTCAGGGTTGAACTGTGGAGTCCTTGGGGTTCTCTGAGCTTGGTTCTTTTCTTGCAAACGTTTCATTACCCGGCCAGGTAACATCTCCAGTGCTAGAATGGGGTGGGGTTTGCTCTCTGTGGCATGCCCTGCCAGTGCTGGTGGGGGTGGGGGTTTTGTCTTGCTCCTCTGGTAGTTCTTTGATTGGCATACGTTTGCTGCTAATCAACAGCTTATGTTTACCAGGGACACAATCAAGCAGCAAACATTTCTCCCAGTCTCAAAGTTTTATCCTGGTCCTTCATCCTGCTCTCAATTCTGGACATGCCAGTTGTCACACCAGGGCTCCATTCTACCGGTTTGGTCATATTTGCTGAAGCTTATCTTTTTTCCTATATTCTGGGCATTAGTGCACAGACAAGGCCACCAACTTTACGAGCCAATGTTCTTTCTCATTTTTCACTGAGTGGTTTAAGAGATTCCATTTGAGTAACATCCCTACTTTCTGCAGTCCACAAATCTTCACTTGATGCCCCTAATTAAGATCTTTTGTTTTCACTCTGAGGAGGATTCATTTTGAAGCCCTCAGCGCACTTTGGCTGCACACATTTTTACCTGTCCTGGGGAGGTGCGGCCCATCTTGTGGGGGCAGTCCATCATCTAGACAACTCAGACCATGATCCCAGGATCAGATCTCTCCTGCAGACGTGACTTGTGGAGCCCCTCACTGAGGAGTTTTTCTCCTTCCTGGACTGGAAGGACGACGAGCCCTCGGGGATGGGGAATTCAGCCCTGTCCCCATTTCAACAGTGGCTTGGAGGAAGGGTTTCAGACTGGCACAAGGGGAAGCAGCCAAGGGACGTTCATTAAAGCAGCTCCTCTTTTTTCAGGCTTGTGCCTGAGTCTAAAAAAATGCTGTAACCTTAAGCTGTGCTCTTTCCAGGCACCAGCTCACCTGTGCTTTTCTGCAGCGCATCTCTTCTGCAAGCACTGTTGTGAAGAGCTGAGATGACGTCGTGGGGAAGGTGCTGGTCTGGGGAGAAGATTCTAGTCCCCTGTCATCCATGGAGGCTCCCTGGGGGACCAGCCCAAGAGCTGGTCTGGTCTAGTGGTGGAAGATCCAGGTTCAAGTCCCCACTCGGGCACAGAAGCTTTGTGCCAGTCTCTCAGCCTGGCCTACCTCACAGGAGTATTGCTGAGAAAATGGGAGGAAGGAGTATAACATACCTTGAACTCCTGGTGAGATATGAATGCAGCAAACAAATAAAACAACCTGCCTGAAGGCCGTTCTTCCTCTATTTGCAGCACTCTACAATCCCAAACTTGGCTTCATGAGGCACCCCGTGGCTACACTGGAGCAAGATGGTGCTCGACTCTCCAGCCTATCATCCACCACTGCATCCCGAGGTTTTCCATGCAGACCCACAACTGAAGAGCGGTGGGAAGAAGAAAGAGTGCCCTCCTTGCACCAGGGCGCAGCAGGACCCGCTCCTGTCTCATCTGTCTCTGGGTCGAAAGGAGTCGGACGCTTCTGGGCCTGGAGGAAGGACCAAGGTGCTGAAACCCCTCCGAGGCCTGGAAGCCCGACCTCCCGTGCGCTCCTGCCTTGCCTTCCAGGGCCCCTGTAGCTGGATGCATCGGAGCGAGAGCAGCTGCACGGTGAACCGGAAGGATTGGGCACGGGGCCAGATCCGCAGCGCTGCCTCCCTCCCTTACCTGCCCAAGGCCAGGACGGAGGAGGGGGCACACACAGCTGGGAAGAGAAGCCCCTGCTTGCTGGTGGCCCTGCGGCCAGCCAACTTGGAGGCAGAGAGAGAGCGATTCTTCCGGTCTTCATGTTCCTACAACCCTCAGTTTGAATATGGGGAGTCTGTCCCTGGAACAGTGCTGGAAAAATACAAGGAGGCCTCTGGGCAGTTCCTTTCACAGGTAGCTTTCCCTCCGCCAGCTCACCCAGCTCTTGCCCGGAGAGGGTTCTCCTCTGACTTCTGGCCATCAAAGGAAGGCTGCCTTGGCTTGACAATGACCATTGGAAGGGACCTGAGAGGTCCTCAAGTCCAACTGCCTGCATGCTGCAGGATGCACTGTGCCATCCCTGATGAGGGGACGCACAAGAGGAGCATGGCTTAGCATTTGCACCCTTTGCAGGTGCTGTGCCACAAGTCCTTCCAAAGGCCTTAGAAGGGAGCCCAAGAGGAGCAGGAGAAGTAGAGGGACTTTCTCCCAGCCATTCCTGACAAGAGTTGGCAGGGCTCCTTCCCCACAGCTGCTGCTGGGCCATCAGAGAGTGGCAGCAGCAGCAGCAGCAGCAGCAGCAAGCCACTACCCTCCCGCCCAGGCCTGCTCCAGGGCGATTGCATGTCTGCCAGCTTGGCCAGCACAGGAGGACTGAGTGGAGGGGGGGGTGTCTGCTCCCAGCTGCACCTTGTGTCTGCAGTTCCTTGGCACGTGCCAAGATGTTGAGCTGATTTCTCAAATTCTCAAACTTTCTGTTCTGGCAGCATGCCATGTGTGCTTTAATTCTTAAAAATTGCTTTAAGGCAGTGGTTCTTAAAACTGTTTGACCCCATTACCCCTTTTGCCGGTCTCAAACAATGTCATGACTCCCACAAAAAACGCAGACTCTGTTGTTTCACACAAGCGTCTCGGCAGCAGCAGTCACAAAGTAGACCTCAGCTCACAAACAAGCAATTACAAATTGCTCCCTTACCCCCAGGATTTGTCCAAATTGCCCCCAGTTTAAGAACCACCGCTTTGAGTCATCTTTGGAGTAAACCTGTTTCCCCCCCGTACAAAAGAGGAACTGAAAGAAATTTGGCAGGCTAAAAGAATGTGGTAAATGGGAGGATTTGTGCCGTGATACCACCACATCTGTAATGTCATTTTTGCCGCTGCATTAACCCTAAGCAACTGCAGACCATTGCTTCCAAATTGGGACACTGGTGATTTGACGTGTTGCCAGCAAAACTCTCTTGAAGCTTCAGAAAAATCTAGACGTTCGTTTTTTAATTAGAGTACAATTAATTGTACTCCATTTATTAGAGTATGTGTGTGGCCTGGGATAGTCACTTTGCAGGCTTATGTGCACACCTCGGGGCTGCCTTTGCTGACCTCATAAGACTTGAAATTTAGGATTTGAGAGAGGTTTTCATCCAGCCTTCCAACTGTAGCTCATATATTATCCATTGAGATAATATAAGACAGAGTGAGAGTATCGTAAGGGGAGAATCAAGGCTGCTACTGTGATGCATGCGCAGAAGGGGCTGTTGCATTTGTGATGCCTGGGGGAGAGGAGAAGGCACAGAGCAGCCCCTGGGCCCTTGCAGCCTCTGGGTCCTTCTGATGCTTTGCCCTTGTTTGACCCCAATCAGTGCCAGCCGAAGCAGGAGCTCCTCCCTCACCCGCATCTCTGTATCCACTCAGTCCGCTGAGCGAATGCCACACCCTCCAAAATCCCTGTGGAACCAGGATGCCAAACCACCCGGAGTCACTGGGAGTCGGGCAGTGTAGAAATTATTATGGTTGGTCACACAGTCAGCCAGAGTTTAGACTGGATTTGGCATTTTTATCCACCCATCGAGTCCTTCCCAAGGACCTGGGATAGTTGTTGTTGTTCTGCAAAATAGCACCTGGTTTCACATAACAGCCCAAGCCCTAAGCCTGGGCTAGCAAAACAACATTTCTGTGTTCACAGAACAAGAGAAGCCCCCAATAATCAACTATGATGGCTTAAAGTGATGACTTGATTCACATAACATGCGAATATGAGGGATGATTCCTTAACAGTTTGAATCAGCCCAGTTCTTGCCTAGTCTAGTGAGTTCTGTGAATCTAGTCTTCAGGTCAGCTACCTGGATGTTCAGTGCAGCCTGACTGGGGCCCATATCAGACCAGGACGTAGCAAAACTTGGAATTTGTGATAACTGCATTGTGTGTGTGTTGCAGGCCATTGGAATCATCAGTGCTGTCCTTGAAAAATATGGTACTTACGAGAGCTTTGAGGCCTCCAACGGTGGAAAGCTGCTCACTAAATGCCAAATCTGGTCCATCATCAGGAAGTATATGCAGAAGGAAGGGTGCTCTGGAGAGGTGAGTTCTGGTGCTCCACACCAGAAGAAACAACCCTGAGATATTCTTGGCTGCATTGTTTTCCTTCTGCTTATTTTTTCCAGGTGGTGGTTCAGCTCACAGAAGATCTCCTTTCCCAAGCAGTCATGATGGTGGAAAACAGCCGCCCAACTTTAGCTATCAACCTCTCTGGAGCTCGTCAGAACTGGCTGGAGGGCATGCTGCGTCATGAGATAGGTCAGGAGAAAGCCCTGAAACGTCTCTCCCATCCTTGGCAGATGTCTTAAAACTGAGCTTACACCATTTGGAAATTCATAAAACAAGTCAGCCTCACCGGGTCGAGAGGTGACACAGCAGTTTTTCTTCTTCTGAATTGATTGAAGCTTGAGATTTAAAGCACCTCCAAGGAAGGCAAAATCACACGTCTATGTTTGGCTGATCTTCCAGTGTAAAAACTCCAAATGGGTTTATATTTTGCAGGGAGGTTTTGGCAATATAAAAGCCTGGAGTGAGTTGTTCAGACGAAAACATGAAACTCTGTGCTCAGATACCACTTTCTCAGTCACTGCCAACTGCTGCTTTTTATGATAAAAATTTTCTTTCGTTCAGGATTGAAGACAGGCTCACCCGGCATTTTCAAGCTTAATTGTTCCAAGGGTCTCTAACAGCTTAGGAACAGTAAATGAGCAATTTCCAAAAGCAATTAGAAAGTGAGGTTGGCAAATGTAGTTGTCAGGCCTAGCCCAAAGAACTCCTGGAGACCATGCAGGTTCAATCAGCAAGGTTTATTAGCCAGCGCCTG